TTTGTGTGCATAGATTAAAAGCACCTTATATTGAATCTACCCAGATCTGGATATAACCCTGCCTCATCACTTCTAGATTTAGATATATTAGGCCTGACTTTTAGAACAAATGTTACATCTAGATCTATTACCTTGGTCATCAGATCTGTCCCAGTGCAATGCCTAGTTTAATAGTTAGTAAAGGTCTAAGTATGCCTATAATATAGGCTACAATTTGTATGACGATGGACCTAGGGTCTAGAAATAAAGTTATAACTGCAATTAGACTTAAAGTCTAGCACATTAGTTGGTGTAAGACATAATTTACAATCAGCCAATACAATTACAAACCACTACATTAGGCCTATAGTATTTACTAGATCTAGACCTAGGCCTTGCCTGTTGCATATATTGCCAATCTTGCAAACCAGTTAATATGTTACATCAATCTCATTTTTCTTTTTGTTGAACATACACTTACTTGTACGTTGTACTCTAGGACTTGTATTTGATCTACAGATGAATGATGTAATTTACTTCTGTATGCCAATTCAGTCTCGCTGTATTTCAGTGGGTGGCTTTTAAAAGTTAAAACTGCAAGAATAATGCACACAAATAATGCGACACTATGTCGTATTTACTTAACATAGGGCAGTTGTGCTATATCCTAGGGGAGGGCATTATTAGTTAATAGGCATTATAGGCCAGAGTAAATTTTGTGCCCCTTCACACCTGCACCCGGGGGCAACTGCCCCCCCTCTTGCTATGCCACTGTTTCCTTCCCCCAGTTCTTCTAGTGGAGTAAGTGAAAACCCCTGCTTTCCCAGTCCCAAGCCACTGGGAAAGTCGATTTGAAGAGTTCCTCATTGGGCAGTGCAGTCTCACTAGTATGAGACCAAATAGATGCACCCCTGATTTGAGAAGTAGGGCTGGGATGTTACATGAAGTGTAGTACAGAAGACCTCAGCTAAATTATGAACCAAACCATTCTTGCTGGTTAAGTTCAGACAGATAGATCTTGGGTTTGCCTCAGGACACAGGTGTGGGATGCTACTACCCGCACCTAATTTTTTGTGGTATCTCACATAAGTATTTCACCAAAATGGAGTGGCCTGACTTACAGACCTAGCCACACTACACACTTCTGCTAAACTGTTTACCTGTGATTTTATGGACAGTTGAGCATTCTCCGATTCCTCTCACCTTAGTGACACATTAGCTTCCAGCAAAAGATATATTTTGCTCTCCCATCTGTGTTGGACAGAGAGAATTCCCTGATTGAGAAGGATGTGGTCTCCAACTAAGTGCTATCCTAGTAAGGCTACCTCATACGTCATGGACTTTCACTTTCTGACACTGTTTTCAGAAAGGAACTGATCCTTGTAATTTCTTAGCACTAGTTCCTTCACCATCTTCAATGTGGAATTCTAGCTTTTTGTGATGCACAGAGGTGAGTAGTGTATCTGAAGTTAACATTTTCCTTGCCTGAAAATGTATTTTCTTACCCTTATACATCCTCTCCACTTCCAGTGCATGTAATATGCCTTAGCAAGAATGAGCTTATGTTCACGTGCTGGTGCTCATGGAGGATGTATCACCCTCCTAATAATGATCATAGACTAGGGCAATACATGTAGGGGTGGGAGCTTTGTTTAAAGCTTGTGGTATGAGCAATAATTTACGTGACAATGCATGAAGGAAAATAATAGCACTTTGTGGTGCAGAAAGGTATCTGTCTAAAATACATTTTCAGGTAAGGAAAACGTTAACTTTACCCATCCTCTGTATGTTTGTGTATGTGTTTTTAATATTAAAAATGAATTTTGGCATAACAGTAATTTGTGTGTATGTAATGATAATTGATATAAGTAGAATATTAATATTTTCCTAATTTCATATTTAAAATGTTATTGATTGAGCTTATGTAAACTGATTATTTTAACATACTTAAAATATCTGCTTTTAGCATTATAATACATTTATTGATTTTAAATTGGTTCTCCTTTTAGGTAAATATTTTAAAAATAATTAACTTAAAAAAGAAGCTGAAATAACAATATTGTAAATTACTTTTCATGCCAAGATCATTATTTTCAGAGTTATAACTGTAAAAAGTAAAGCTAAAGCTGAAGTTTCTTAGGAGGGGAATGGATGAAGAATGTTACTGTACCTATTATGTTATTGTGGTATCTTTATTTTTTACACTTTTTTGTAAATATTAAATTATTTTTTCAATACAGTATGTAACTTCTATTCACATCTACTTTTTCCTGTTCAGTGCTGCACTCTATATACAAACCTTTTTGCTCACCAGTAGCTTTGAGGCTCCTACCTAATCTTTCAGAATTCTATCACAGAAGAATATCCACATAAAATTTATGTAAACCTGTTATAGATTTTTTTATTAACCTCTGTACTTGGTTATCTAACAGAAGTATGTGTACAATTTTTAGTCTGGAAGTTAACATTTTCCAAAACTGATAATGTATTTCCAATAGATACTCACCCCACTCACACTTCCTACTTCTGGTGCATCTTTCTTTATCGCCTTATCTTGAAATGATGGTTGAACAATCAATATAGCTGCACTAAGAAGTGGTGTTACACTCCTATTGGTGAAGGGTTGTTGTATGCTCATTTACACGCAATAAAACAGCAATATTAGGTGGGAACCTTAAGGCTAGTGGTGAGCTAAAACATTCATATATAGAGGGCAGCACTCAATTGGAAAAGCTAGATAAGAGTAAAGGTATTTATTGAAAAAAACATTTCCTATAATCTTAATTTCACAATTTTGGATGCAACTTTCCAAAAGTGATTTATAATCATTGGAAATAATTAGTAGTTATCATATGTAAGAATATTTTTTAGTCATCAAACAAAAAATATGCTTAATTTTACAGGTGCTGACTCTTCAATTAGATTTTTTTAATGAAAATAATCTTGGAGAAAAGTATTAGGGTACAAATTCATGAATGAAACAGTTATTTGTTATGTACTGTTTAGTCCATTAACAATTGTAGTTATGTGCTAAGCACTTCAGTTAGTACTACTCAATTAGTAAATACAGTGTGAAATATAAAAAATAGTTGCTTGAATTAATCAACAAATTCCATACCTGGATCAGCTATGTACTACCTTTTCATCAGCTCTTAACCCAGAGAATGTTATCCAAATAAGCTTTAAGTGTAGGAGACAGTTTTTTCCTAATAAAATAAAGTTTGAGGTTATCATTTATATTTTATTACTTGTGTTTTATTTATGTATAGTCAGTAATCAAAATAAGCCAGTATACAGTAGTATGCCATAATGGCACTTCTCAGAATACTAAACATATATGTATTTTTGCTTTCCAGAATATTTTAATGGGTGTACATGACTAGTACAATTTTGTATTAGAACTTCTAACTTTGTTTATATTGATTAATGTGTATAATGCTTATCTATAGAATTCTTCACATATATTTTTTTTAAAACATGTTTATTGCTTTTTAGAATTAATTATTTTTAGTCAGTTTTTCTTATAACAAATTATATTGAAGTTTTATTTCAGACAAAGCAACATCCTGTGAAAAGGAAACTTGAAGAAGGAAGCCCTGCTAAAGTGATTCTTAGCAAGGAACCAAGGTAAATATTATCTTGTAATTTTCTAACCTTAGCATTCATTCTAAGTGTATTCTCAAGGGTCATTAAACTAAAATTATTTAAATCTAAGTTAATTACTTTGTATAAACATTCTGTTTCATTACTTTTTCAGTATTATAAGTGTGATTTATAGTGTATTGAAGTTCTGTCTTTTTGCTTCTAGTTTCTTTCAGTATTTATTAAAGGTGTGGTGATACAACGATATGATACAAGTATCATATCATGAAGCCATGATACAATTATATCGATACATCATTCGATACGATACAATTTATGTATCTTCACAAAATTTGGCAAGCTTTCAGTAAACATTACAAGTCTTTTGTACAGATAAATCAGAACTTCTAATAAAGTATTTTTGCTAAAAATTAATGATTCAATAAAGGAAGATGAGTATTGAGTACTACATGTTGTCTTCCTTTTTTGTGTCAAAAAAATTACATGCAAAGTAACATAACAAACTTACAATAACAAAATAGACAGACAGATATTAACTTTTTGTATTTTACTTCTCTTGCCAATTGCCATTTAGTTGATCAAACCTGAGAATTCAAAAAAGCATTGTAAAGTGTGAAGTACTTAGATAAGACAATGTTAGTAATATAAATAATAAATTACAGATAAGACTGTCAAACTTTGTAACAAACTGTTGATAAAACTTCTGTATCTAGATACATATTGTATCGTGACATCAATATCTAGATACATATTTTTTTTACTACTGTGATGAGATATACACTCCTAGTATTTATATATACATATATATATAGGTGCATAACTATGGTGTTACATTGTTGCATTATTCATTTCCTAATTGTTCTTTTGTCAGAATATTATAAAGACATTAAGCAATAAAAGCTAAGCTTCTAAGCATGAGAAAATCAATTTGAAGTCATGTTTATTAAATGAAGGATGTTTTGCCAGAGATATTGGGCTTCACATTGTTCTAAGGTAATTATGGATCAATGTTTTTAACCCTTTCAAGACGAGTCATGGGTGAAAGGCCATGTCATTCCGTTTGGTGACTCGCATTCAAAATTTATTAAACTACTATTTCATGAATTTATGTCATTAAGTTTTTTATCAAACTGTAGATTACAATTGAAATTTTGGTACTAATACATTACTCAGTTTCTTAATATAAAAGTAAATATTAAAAAAATACAGATAAATATCAATGTTTGTGTGTCACGTGGTATGTTGAACGCAGCACTGGTTCAAATTAGTTGTGTGTGAAGTCAAAATACTAAGTCTGTAGTTTTGTATGAATTAGAACCTCAAATTACCGATATTGACAAGCTAGAATATAAAATAAGAATGTCTTATCTTATATACTTGCTAAGATATTGCTCATGTAATAAAT